TTTGTCATGCGATCAGCCTAAAAAATAAATGGTGCTAAAAAAATAGACAAAAAAGAGATTGGGGCCAAGTATCAATATCTCTGAAACAGTAAGGAGTCAGACACTAAAATTTGGAGTGAAGTTTTCTATTATTTCAAGCTTGTATTCCAAAAATCAGCAAAATCTGAGATGGCATGGCAGGCCTTGTGATGAATAAAAACTGCGCGACGCATAAGCACGACGTGATTTTTGACGTCATTAAATTCTTTTTATTTGCTTTTCATATTTATCAACATTAACTGCACCAATTTACTTAATTACTGCAAAAATACTTTAAATCATTAATGTAGAAATGATATTATTTTAAAATGTTTTGGAATGTTTCGTTTTTTAAAATGTAAAAACATTTGTTTATTTTCTCAAGGTTTGACACGTTTTGTCTATACTAAACGAATAAAAAACATTATAACTAAACATTTTAAAAAAGATTATAAAATATGCTAATAATTGATTTTTTTTTTCCTCAAATATATAATTTAAAGTTTTTCAAATAATTATTTTTTCTTTTTAAAAAGTCAGCGAGTAATAAACTGGAAATTTTAATATTGTACGATTAAAAACTGTGCAATAGCTAATATTTTTACTAGCGATTTTATATAATATTTTTTTATTTTTATTTATTTTCATAAAGCGGTTGATAAGCACAATCACTTGTATTACTAAAAAACTTTAACGAACGTTCTGAATAGATTTTTAATGTTTACAAGGAATTTTATTTTTGGTAAAATAAAATAAAATAAAATGTTAGAATAAAAATATTATAGGTATAAAAGAAATATTTCGGCGAAAAAATTATTCTTAAAAATTATTCGAAAAACTATTTACGCTCTATTTTTCAGCAGCTGATCTTGAGCACGCTTCGTTGAGTTTCGGTAACTTTTAACAAAAAAGCGATTGTTATTATTTAAGTAATTTTTTTTGAGTTACTTTTTACAAAAATTTTAATAGCTGTACTTTTTTTTTATTGAATCAAGTAGAATACGTTTTAATATTATTCCTTTTATTTTTTTTTATTTGCGCTTACCAATTTTAAAAATGTTTCCTCGAAATTACTCTTAAATAATTTAAATACCTCTAACAGTTAATAAATATTTTTAAATCTATGGAATAATTTAAAACCTAACAAACCCCCGTAAAATAATTATTTAAGTTAAATAACTAAAACTAAAAGAAAGTATTTTTGTTCAATTTTATCGGCAACTTTGCTATTGCTGAATAATTTTAATAAAATGTTACCTTAAAAAGATTTAAACTTTTTTTTTTATCTGAATTTTTTCTACTTATAAATAATGAGCATATTTAATTTTTTTGTAAATCAAAGTTTTGTATCAACTGCGTGCGGTTTTTAAAATACTTTATTAAATGTTAAAATAATCGTAAATTACTTCATTAAAATTCTGCTCAAAAATATCTTTAAATATACTCAAACAAAAATTTTTTTGCTCGACACAAATAGCCCTAGCTACACGCAAAATCGCACTTGGACGACATAAAATTCACATCACCTGACGCTTTATCGCAAGGCCTGGCATGGTGCCGAGCATAAATAGAATTGAGCTGGAATGACCCTGTTCCCAATGCCTAGATACTTAAAAAAATAATAATTAACTTGTACGTCTCTGTTTCCAAAAATATTAACATGTTATTTTTCATTTATCCTAAACTATAAAATCTATTGCGATAGGATTTATTTAAAGTATTTATTGAAACTTAATTTAAAAAGAAAGACACCCTTAAAATTTAGGATTAAATTTGTATTTTTTACAAAAAAAAAAAAAAAAAAAAATTCAATAATCATTAAATTCAATAATCAATTCAATAATCATTAAATTCAATAATCATTTCAAGTCGCCATGATAACATAAGAAATTTGTTCCCCACATTGCTTAAAAGAGTGTGCATAAATGTTCAATCCGAACCACACCTCATACCCCTTGTTAATGAGAATTTTTATTTCTATACAGCAAATAAAAGTAACCAAGCTCGTTTAGATATTAAAGCAAATGTTTTTTGGCAAAATGGACAGACAGCATTTTTTGACGTAAGAGTTACGCATGTCAATTCCATGAGCAACAAAAATCTAGATATAGCTGCTATATTCAGAAAACACGAAAAGGAAAAAAAAAGAGAGTATGGCGAACGAGTTCGTGAAGTCGAACATGGCAGCTTGACACCACTAGTATTTGGTACAAATGGAGGTATGGGTAAAGAATGTCATTGGTTTGTTAGAAGGCTAGCGGAGAAACTAGCGGAAAAACAAAATGAAAAATACTCAGTTGTTATGACATGGTTAAGAACAAAATTATCTTTTGAGCTCAACTATCCTTTGTTTAAGAGGCTCAAGAACACCCTGGACTAAAAAAAATGATTTTGAAATCGGTGTTGATTTTAAGATGGATGCTCTAGAAGCAAGAATCTGAGCTCTTATAAATTTATATTATAGCATTTTGTTTTACTTGTATATTTGATAAATTTTAATGAAACTCTTTAATGAAAAAAAAAAAAAAAAATAATGTTAAAATTTTTTTCATTTTATATCGACTTTAAAAGAACCATATGGCAGTGGTAATTTTCTGAGTCTTCAGGGTTTTTCTTTAATAGATTTTTTTAAATTATCTGTTTATTATAAGTACCCAATTTATAACCATTCACAACTCCTTTACACAAAATTGTATGTATAGCTATGTAAAATGTTATCTTTAAATACATTTAATACAATAAAATAAAATCAACATAGTATATATTGGTTGCTCAGAACTTTGCTAAACCATGAGCCATAGTAAATGTAAATATCAAGCATCACAAAGTTCTTTTTTTTCACATTTATTTCTTAATCATTTTTTTATTAAATAATCTTTTAGTCTTTTTTTAAATAATTTTTAAGTAATTCAATTGGATAACTTCAAAATATGATAACTTCTAAGTAATTCAATTGGATAACTTCAAAATATGATAACTTCTAAGTTATTCAATTGGATAACTTCAAAATATGATAACTTCTAAGTAATTCAATTGGATAACTTCAAAATATGATAACTTTTACTTAATTCTTTTTTTTTTTTTTTTTTTTATTTGCATTCACTCTCAACAAGGCTGCAAGCAACCACTATTAAGTTGGGAGTTACTAGGAAAAAAAAGAACAGAGTTATAGAGCAAGGAAACGGTTGACAGAAGACTTGAAAAGTTGAAGGTTGTATGAGTCAGGAAAACATGAAGATGGGAGAGAGTTCCAAAGGATTGAAGTGCGGGGAAAAAAACTAGATGAATAAAAGTTTTTAGAGCATGCAGGGACAGATACAGTAAACGAATGAGACTTAGCTGAATGACGAGTAAAACGAGAATGAATTTTAGTTGATGGAACTAGAGATGATAACTCCTTTGAGCAGTGACCATGATAGTATCTGTAGAAAAGAGAAAGAGATGCAACTTTACGACGATGGGAAAGAGGTTCAAGCTTAGCAGATAGTCCAGGTCCAACAACATTTACAATGCATTTTTGGACCTTGTCAAGAAGAGAAAGTGCATCGTTAGAAGAACCAGCCCAAATATGACAACACTATTCCATACAGGGACGAATAAGAGATTTGTAGAGGAAGAGAATGGAATCAGAAGTAAGGAAATGGTGAGCACGATTTAGGTCAGTAGTAAGCGATAATCCAAGAAGACGTAAAGAGGAGGACTCAGTAAGAGGATTGCCATTCATTAATATAGGAATGTTGACCATATTACGGTAGTTGTTTGCAGTAAGCAATTGGGTTTTTTTAGAGTTGAAATTCACAAGCCACTGTGAACCCCAATCTATTACTAAAGTGAGATCAGATTCAAGATCAGCTGCTTGTTCTAGGCGATCGGAAAGAGAAGACTTTTTGTCAAGACAGGAGTATAAATTCAATTGGATAACTTCAAAATATGATAACTTCTAAGTAATTCAATTGGATAACTTCAAAATATGATAACTTTTAAGTAATTCAATTGGATAACTTCAAAATATGATAACTTCTAAGTAATTCAATTGGATAACTTCAAAATATGATAACTTCTAAGTAATTCAATTGGATAACTTCAAAATATGATAACTTTTAAGTAATTCAATTGGATAACTTCAAAATATGATAACTTCCAAGTAATTCAATTAGATAACTTCAAAATATGATAACTTTTAAGTAATTCAATTGGATAACTTCAATATATGATAACTTCTAAGTAATTCAATTGGATAACTTCAAAATATGATAACTTCTAAGTAATTCAATTGGATAACTTCAAAATATGATAACTTTTAAGTAATTCAATTGGATAACTTCAAATCGGCAACCTTTTTAACCTTGGGTTTTATGTAAAAACATAGTAAAAGACCTGTAAAAAGAAATATCTAACAAAAAGGTAGCCTAAAATTATGTCTCAAAAAGCACAATTTCAACCTGGGTTAAAAATAAAAACAAGTTATCTAATTCGCTGGAAAAAAATGGTACAATCTATACAGAAGAAACTTCCTACTAGTAATTTAGAAAATGAAGGCTAAGCCATAATTATGTGGCTGCTTTGCTATACAGCTCAAAATGTGGAAATAAAATATGATCCCCTTAGCACTAAACCTAAAGATCTAATGCACATGGAAAAAGTAGATAGTATGAAGCAATGCCAGATAACAGATTTTTCATAAAAATATTTTTCTTGTTGCTATTTTTTTGTCACATGGAAAAGTTGTTTTAAATTTCTTTTTTTTGAGATAATAAATTCTTGATATCTCAAATTTTTCCCTTAGACCCTTTAGAGTTTTGATAAATGTGTAATTTAATAAAAAAAAATATAAAAAGATTATAAATAGATACTTAACTGTTATATTGCAATTGTTAAAATAAATGTTTAATGAAAATGCTTAAATGTAAATTAAAAAATATAAACAAAATTGTTATAAAAAGATATGCACACAATTAATGTATTGCTTATTTATTATACAGAAAGAAATTCAAAGCTTGAAAGCAAGTGGTAATGTACCTTCTTCAGATAATGTTTTACAAAATGTAAGTTCAACTTGCTTTATTAATTCATTATACATGTTATGTAAATTAAGATTTCTTAAAGCGGTTTGTTAGTTACTTACAATTTCTGCACAAAATACCCAGACTTTTCTTAATTGACTATCTGTTCTAAATGGGCTATGTGGAAGTTTATAATAATAACTTGTTATTAGTTTGGTTGTCCATATTTGTTAAATGGTATAGGATTACATCTGGGTATGACGCTGATATTACACTATACTACGCTATTAGTAGTTGAGTTAGTTGATTACTTGTAATAAAGATTGAATTAAAAATTGAATTAGATGTTTAATAATCAAATAAGATTGAATTAAATGTAATTCTAAGGGATTAAATCTATATTGCACAATGTTCTTAAGAGATAAACTATTTTAATATTTTTAATAAAAATATTTGTTGCGCGAGCTTTTGCTAATTCTCAATTTTCATATATTTCATATTTTATTTGATTATTTATAATTCTTTTTTATATATTCATATATAGCAGGAATAATCAATAAAAATAAATAAAAACGGTGTACTAAACATGTTATGATCAAATAAAAGTATTCAAATTATTAAAAATGATAGGTATTGCATAAAAATGACAGTGATAAAAATTTATAATGATCTTTTAACTATACTGTTTCTGACTATAAATCTATACTGTTTCTGACTATAAATCTATACAACCCTCAGAATTAGGGTCTAACTGTTGACTTGAAAGTGTTTGAGGTAGGTAAAAAATTGCGGACCTCGTTTCTATGTTTTATGGTCAGACCTTTGTATCAAATAATTTTTGCCGACCTGATGTTGACCTCAAAAAGATTGAGGTCGGCAAATTCTTGCTGACCTCATTTTTTTTTAATTCTGAGGGTTGTCTATAATAATATAAATCTATATATAATTATTAGTGGTGTGACTAGGATAATTAAATTTTTAAACAAATATATAAACATATATAACATAGATGAGTTTTTCCGGGAATTCCCGGAATTCTGGAAATTCACATAAAACTCTTTTAATTTTCCAGAAAGTTCCAGGTGTTTTTTGTTATTAATTTTTTAAAAAATTTATATGTTTTTACATAAAATTATAAATACGACAACTTTTGCATTTAAACAAATATGTTTTCTATAATTAAAATTTTTATGAGGTTAATTTTCAAAACAATTATTTTTTTTTGTTTTTTTGTTTTTTAATTCTTTCAAATTAACTTTTTTGAATATTAGAAATTCCTTTTTGCAAAAAGTTAATCTAAATTCTGTTTTGAAAGTTTACAAAAGTTTATGTTGTCAGTTAATACGATCAATTTTTAATTCCGGGAATTTCATGGAAAAAAATTTCAGGGACTTTCATAAAGTCAACTACTCATCTATAATATAAAGTGAAATGTAGTTATCTAAATATAGTTATATGTTGAATCTGAATCTCAAGAATAATTTAATGCATGGATAATTTTCTAACAGGATAGAGAAGAAATTAAAGATGAGCTCAAGCGTTTGCAACGTAAATTGGAGGAGTATCAAATGTTAAATTTGCAAAAAGATGAAAATATACAAACACTTATGCAACAAGTTCATGAAGCTGAAGAACTGAAGGATAAGGTTGAAGCCCAAGAAAGAATAAATTCAGAAAAATTAATGTTTGAATTAGCTGGAAGAATTGAAGCTCATGAAAGAATCAGCAATAAACTAGAAGAAATGCGTAATGTTATGACTGAGAAAGATATAGCCGTACAAAATATGGCTGATGAGGTATTACAACTTTTTTGCATTGTGTTTTTTGTAATTTAAAGTGTTTTACTTGAATTTGAATAAGGAGTTGAATTTATAAAGTAAATTTGAATTTTCATTTAATTTCAGATGGCTGCTAAAGATCAACTTCTTAAAACTAAAGAAGAGGCTGTTAAAAGGCTTAAAGTGCTTACTCAAGGATCTGAAGTTACTGAGCAGTATATTCAATCCCTAGAAAATGATAAAAAAGAACTTGCTAAAGAAGTGGATAAATTAATTGGAACAATTCAAGTTCTAGAAAAAAAAAATATTTCAAAAAGTGACACACCTGTTGCATTTGATAAGGTGCTTTTTTTTTTTAAAATTCTTAATGTTTCTCTTTTTGATTAATTCTTTATTTAATTGAAATAATATATATATTTTAAGTTTAATTAAGTTTTTCTTTACAATTTGACCATGGCTGTTTTGATGTTTTAACAATTTAGATGCAATAAAAAAGTCATTAATTTTTATTTGTTAAACTTTTCTAAAGTTTTTATTTTACGCTATGGCTTTAAATAAAATATAAAATTAATAATAATTGTTTGAAATAAACAAATTTTGTGTAAATAAGTTAAAAAGATAAGTTTTAAAGTAATTTATTTCAAGCGCAATTAAAACGTAATAAAGTGTAATTATCGCTTTGAATTTGAGTTTTTTGCATT